AGTGTTTTTGCAAATCTTGGGGTCTTATGACCTGTTTATCTTTTTGTGTACAACCTTGACTTGTTTCAATTATATTGTCATTTTGATTTATACAAATCTCTTCTTGATGAACAATTTTTTCATCTCTAGTATTCAAACTGAAAGTAGACACTGATCTAGAAAAGTTGTCCATTTTGTTCATCATCTATTTCTTTCCCTACAGTGGTTGATCTAAGGGACTTACAACGGTTACATCCTACAACCCTACATGTAACGCCCCGCTTAAGGTACGTATTTAAGATTTGCTGTAATACTTAAAAGTTCATTGATTCAGTTTCAATTGAGTTTGTATGTTGTATTGGTCAAGAATTTGCTTTGAGTTTGGTTGAGATTTGGTGAATTTTGGAAATCTAAGCTTCGCCGGGCGAAGGAGAATCTTCGCCGCGGCGATGAGGTGCTGACCCATGGGTAGGTTCTACCCTGTTTCGCCGGGGCGACGAAAGTTCTTCGCCACGGCACGCGAGCCTAATAAAAAGTTTCTTGAGTTTTCTAGAGAATTCTTCCTTTGAGGCACAATGACCATTCTACCCCTAATTAGTAGAAAAGTGGGAGTAAAATGTAAGGAAATTTAGTAGAGAATGTGTTGGTAATAAGGGTGTTTTTGCAAAGAATCAAAGGATATGGATGGAATTTCCAAGGAAGAGCAAGGAAAATGGGAAATGATGGTTATAATATGAGTTAAAAAGAGTTAAAGTGTAGAGAAACCTTTTAGTGTAGAGAAACCTTTTATTCATCCATTTCCACCGCCATAACCATTCTCTAACTTCTCTCAATTCTCCATCCAATCTTCCAGATTTCCAAGGACTTTTGAGAGTTTTGAGTAGATTTTAATCTAAAGCATCCTTAGGTAGGATTCTTGCTTTAGAGAGTTTTAGTATGTTTTGGTTAAAGTCTTATGTGTTGATGTTGTTGTTGTTTAAAGTTGTAGAGAGAAATCAAGCTACCAAAGGAAGGGAAAAGTGTTAGAGAGAGTATTCCCTCACAAGGTAAGTAAATCCAACCAAGTTGAGTTTTGAATAAGCTTTGAGTAGAGATTTATTTTCCTATGTATGTATATGTTTATCTATCTACGAAAATTGAGATGAGATGTGTGCTTAGTCCTAGTTGTTGGGTATGATTAAATTATGAGAGAGTTTTTAATATGGGTGAGAGAGTGAAATTGAGTTGAAGTTGGAGGGTTGTGTATGAATATTTTTGGGAGTGTTTTCTTGGCAGGAACTATGACTGTATGAGGGAGTTCTCCCTTTTGGATGATTAAAGAGAGAGATAGAGTTATGATAGTAGAGCTTGGGTATGCACATGAGTTGTTTGAGGAAATGCCTAGGTGAGATCTGCCTGTCACAGCCGTGACTTTCTAAGTGAATTTTGGGCATGTTACGGATCGAACTGGGCTGAGACCGAAACATCAAGTTGTAGCCCTGGTTAAGCTTTAAAACGAGACCAAAACTGTAGCAATCCGATAGTATACGCAAGTTATGCCCTTTTTAGTGCAACCTGTGCAGAATGACTGTTTTGATGCAATGTTGCATTCAACATTTCATAAGTGCATTAGTGAGCATGAGTTGTCTCACACATTTTATGCACTTAAGAAGTAGCTTGAGACATAGTAGAGAATGTAAGTATAAGCTACTTTAAAGTAAAGAGAGAAAGAGAGTATGAGCACTAGAGAACGAAGAGAAAAGAGAATAGAGTAGGTTATGCGATGGGGAACCCGTGAGTAATGGGTAGAGTTTCCCGCATGTACGCCGCATTGAGAGAGCGGCATGAGTATGAGAGAGAGAAAAGTGGTGTAGCCCGTGAGAGTGCATGCGGATGAGGGCTATACCGAGTACCCAAGAGAGAGATTATACCCACATGGCCAAGGGTTCCGAATCCATGTATAACCGAGTCCGATCGGCTAAAATGAGCAAAAGTCACGTAGAGTGGGAGCAAGTCCCAGCCGTGCCTCGGTAAGATGAGGTCGTGACTACTAAAGAGAGTAGTAAAAAGAGTTATGAGAAAGAGAGGTAGTGAGAGTATAAGAAGAGAGTAAATGAAATTGTAAGGAAAGAATTAGAGAGAGATAGTTATGGGGATAGATGTGTAGAGGATTTACTTACTGAGCATTAGTTGTGCTCACCCCGTTGTTTTTTATGTTTTGCAGGATCTAGGTGAGGACACGTCGGATGGGCGTCGGCAAGCGAAGAAATGGCTACACTGTCCACCCTGTTTTGATGTTTTGTACATGATACAACTTTTTGTATTTAAAGAATGTATATATTTAATAAAAGAAAAATTTGGGCCCAACCTTTTTATGTTATTTATTATGTACAGTTTTTGAGGATTTGAGTGGAAAGCGGCTATTACACTACACAACCCAAAAGGACTCGGTACTCAAAATAATTAATAACAAAATTTTAACAATCCTAAATCCCTGCCTCCTTCTTGCCTCTAATACCAGAGGAAACACGGATGTTTGGAAAATATTTTGAATTGGATAGTTTTTGTAATAAATCTTTTTTGTTTGAGTTTTGATATCTTATCCATCATAAGGTTGTATTAAGAGGTTTATAATTTATGACAAGTTTGGAACTCCTCATTAAGTTCAACATTTTTTTTAACATAGAAGGTTGAACAATTCCAAGGAGACTTGTTTTCCTAATTAATTTTTTTTGTAATTATTTATTATTATTTAACCTCTTACATTGAGATTTTGTTAAAACCTCTGACCACATAAAATTTTAAATTTTAACAAAATCACCAGCCACTGCCAACCATGGCCTAAACGGCACACGATCGGCCTAATCCAACCGTCACTTATGGTAATTGGTGATGCATACATATTCCCAAGGCCGTCAAAATTTGGAAACTGAGAGATTAAGTTGCACTTTCAGTCCATCATGCTGTTATGATTTTGTACGGAGTCTTTCATATGTATGATTTCATGTCGTCTCCATGATTTTGGTTACGCTCTTGGAAATTAAAGTATCAATGCTGGAGTGTTATCGCTACTACTGAAATAAACTATTTTATTACATTTGGGAATGCACCTGTGGAATTCATCTCGACTAAAAGATTTAAACATGAGTAAATATACAATAATATGACGACACCCGTATAATTTTTGTTAGTATCATATGTGTAGAAAGATCAATATAGAAAGGGAAAGAATATAAGTCGGACACCGTGACCAAAAAATAAAAAATAATAAGCCGGCTCATAAAATTCCTAAGGTTGTGCCTTATTTAGGCCACAAGTTCAACAGTAAGGCCACAAGCAAATTAACTGGAGTTTGATAGGTGAAGAAACTAATGAAATAAGTTAGAAATGGAAGGTCTAGATCAAGGAATGGCGAATAAGCAAAATAATTTAGCAAAGAGAATCCAATGAAATATTAACATATAAAACTCGGTTTCTTTCACTGTTTACTGCACTATATGCTGTTTGTGGTCATGATGTAATGAATAAAATTTTTTTTCTTCTTCAGTACTATTAATGTAATCCATTCCGCCAAGCTATCACCTTGACTTGCCTAATGCCTACTCATAATCATAAATTATAAATATAATGAGTAGCACTTTGACATCATGTGTTACTTGGTTTACTTGCAGTACGTCGCCCTAGTTTTAATGGTTCCTTTTCCTGTTGAAGAGACTCAAACTTTAATATATATGAACAAGTGAACAGGTGAGGTATAATACTATAATTCCCTGCAAGATGGATCAACTAAAGTCAAATTATGACAAATCCTGATGAAATTACAACAAATATATCACATTGAGATAAGAATGAGTATCTTTCTTACAAAGATTGTATATGCAACTGACCAATAGTAAAATGTGTGCGTTAGAATATTAACGTTACATTTTATGGTTAATTGATAGCACATACAACTATGTAAAAAAGTTTCGGAAGTAGGTATTGTGTGTGCAAAATCATAACTTAAGAAAATTAAACAAAGATTATGTTAAAATGTATTTTAATACGTAAATTACAAAAGATCTAATGTCAAAAAAAAACATTTAACGCATCAAAAGCTTATACAACTAAAAGAGTTTGGGTTAATTTAAGGTTTTAGAGCTCATAACTTAGTAGACTGAGTTATAGGTGAAAGACATTTGCGTGAAGCTCAGAAGTAAATTTGTGCGAGATCAGACTCAAAATAAAAATATCTACTTAATTAGACTCCAAACATACATATATAATAAGATTTAAAGACTTTATGTATGAAATCCATCTTACTTTATACCCTTACAACACGTCACTATAATTCAAAAATAAAAAAAACAATAAGTACATATAGTAAGCAAACAAAAGGAAGATTTTGCAATCCATGGCTGTGTCCATATTGTTCCTTTTCTCCGCCCACCGATTGCATGCCCGTGCTATGTGAAAGCAAAACTGCAGTAGCAAAGATTAGAATTTTAGAATCATTCACGCCCCCCATCTCTAACCATAGCAAACAATCAATACACTGTCAAAAGTTAAAGCCAATCCCACCTTCAATATTCTTTTTTAGTATATGAGATTCACATTGGAGCCTGTTTAATTTTAAGGTCACGGAACATCTACAAGCCCAATAAAAAAGAAATATACAAATGTGGTAAGTATCTCTCCTAGACTCTGACCTTTTGGATGTAACTAACTCCAATAACTAAAGGTTTGTCATCTGGTTAAGGGAAAGGTATCCCACCTCCAATATTGTTCTTTCTTTAATTTAATTTTCCTTTAACATCTCACCAAAAGCAAAAGGAAACAACTCTAAGTGGAGCAAGCATGAACATGATTGATTACATTTGCGCCACCTCCCTCCATGTCCAACTATCTTTTCTCTACCTCAAAATCCTACTCAAACCCCACCTCCCATCCCACTTTCTTCTTTGCAAAGCAAACTTTAATAATTAAAATATTATCTCAATGCGGCCGATATTATCATACTGATATGATAACTTTATCGAACTAACATTAAACATTAATTTCTCTTTGATGATGGTACTATACGCTTTAGATCAAAATAAAATCTAATGGTTGTTTCTATACTCAAAAGATCATATTCCACCTTTAATATTTCTCCCTCTCTCATACACACAAACACAATAGCTCCAAGGTTTTGGTCATGGTGTGAAATATTGGAAGGTTTAAGCTTGTTGTCGGTACTCCTGGCGGCGACCGCGCAGAGCCGGTGCACTGCTTTGGTGTGCTCTTGCTATGTTCCATCAAGAAGTTTTAACAACAAAGGTGAGGAAAGCAGTAGAAGCAGCAATAATATTAGCAAGAAGAGATTGGAAGGAGAAGACAAGAAAGAATATGGGGGCATGGAAGACAAGAAAATTAATGGGTGCACCAATACTAGGAATATCAGATTCAGTGGGTCAAAATCAAATGGGCCTCACAATATTGAACCAACCACCAGTACTCTCAAGAGTAATCTCAAGAAGGCAACAACATCAATAATGGAGGGAAATCAAGAAAGGAGGAAAGTAACTTGGCCTGATGCACATGGCAAAGATATTGCTCATGTTCAAGAGTTTGAGCCAAGGTATATACTGCTCTAATTGCATCATAATAAATAAGCTGAAAAATGATATTAGTAGTTGCCATCATAATGATTATACTTTTTTTTTGTCCTGAAGTTGATAAATTTACACCTTTTGCACATTTCTTAACTGGGTTTTTATTGTGTTAACAGTGTTTCAGAAGATGGGGAACTTGAGGGAGTAAGAAATTCTTGTGTTTGTGCCATTCAATGAAGCAAGAGATCAATGGTATGATATGATAGTTTTTTTATAGCAATGCTGCTTGATGATCAACATGTACAATTTCATTGTAATTACATAAACTTGAGCTACTGTTTCTGAATTGCATTCAAAGAAATCCACAAAACAAGTTTACCATTTAGGCTTGAAGAAAACATATGATAAGCACAAGCAAAGCCAAACAAAAGCTTGTGGTTGTGCATATGTGAATACAAGCCAATGTAATCATCAAATGAGTTATTGAGTTCTTAATTATATTGGTAAGACAAGACAACATACCAAAAGCAAATAGTTGATAATAAATATGATAAGAATCGATGAAGGAATCTGAGAAGCTTAGTGTCAGGATTTCACTGCATACATGAAATTTTCTTAAAACATTCAGGTCTTGGCATGAACACTAAATCCACTGATTGTCAAAATTAGAGCTCATTCTTTAGATGATACACCAATGCCTGCCCACGTTGGCCCCAACACAGATGGCGGGGGCAAAAGGCTTTTTCCCTACACGAATGTGTTGGCGTCGGGTCACCAACTTCAAGTCAGTTCCCTAGCGAACAATCCCAACGCAATTTATCTGGCGTCGGACACCAATTTGGCGTCAGGGTTTAGTTTGAATGTTTCAATAAATTTTAAATAATGTAAATTATTTAGTGTTTTCGTAACTAGCAAAATTATTAAATAACACAATTACTAAAGCAATTCGACGCTACAAATCTGCAAATCTAAGCAACAGAAACCTCTAACTCATCTTTGCTTGATACTAATGAAGAATGTTCATCGACCCAAGAAAGAAAAACTCAAGATTATTCATTGTTTCTAAAGCCTAGAATTCTTCATGCTCTAGCTAATTGTAATTGGTATCAAATATCTCTGCTATATGGAAAGTAAACAAATGAGTTAAAAAATAAAGGTTTTATGCTTTAAAGAAAAGGGTTTGTACTTTGTTGCTTGTTTAATGTAAACTCATTATACTTGTACAAAAGCTTTAATGAAGATTCAAAATTTAGTCCTATGCTTAATTACTCTAGTTAAAGGAAGTTACAGGATGTACAAGGTTCTCCTTTGAATAAAAGATGGTAATTGATGCTGGTAAATAAAATGAAATTCTTTTAAAAAGATTGTGAGAGCCCCAAGAACTTTTTCAACTTTACAGCACAACTTTGTACAATAGAAAAGAGAGTAACAGATGCAAAATACTTTATGTGATAACCACCAAAGATAAAGATAGGCAGAGCTAGATTGCAAATTTTGAGATGTTTGTCAATGCATAGGAGGAGCTACCTTTATGAATTATGATATACATGAAAGAGCTTGCAAAAGGGCCAGATGTGGCCCAGAAACAAAAGTGAAAGTCATGAGACAAAAACTGAAAAGCTTTAGGGAAAAGAAAAGAAAAGAAAGTAGTAGATAATTAATGCAACCTTTATTGAATAAAAATTACAGATGGCAAACTACTATAGAGGTTTGGGTGTCCGGTCAACTTATCCGTACCTTAACTAATTCTCCGTGACCTTAGAATTATTAATCGGATAAAAGCTCAAGTAGCTACCTCTATTAGTAATCAATAAGAGACTCAAACTCAAAACCTTTTGAGTAATACATTGAAGAGTTCCTATCAAACCATTCAGCCACTCAAAGGTAGTTAAACCACTTATATTAAGGCAGGGATAACATCCCATTAGATTATTAAAGCATAAATATTTAAGAGCCAAAAAAATATTGATGGAAACATTGTTTTATGAAGTGGGAAAGGCTGAATTCTTGGTTATTATTATTGTTTTTGTAAAGAAGTGTAATGGAAGCAAAAGAAATAATTGGAGCAAGTATTTGGGCAAAGTAGCAATGTGAAAAGGATTGAATTGACTTAATAAAACTAGGATAAGATAAAACCTAAGCCATCTTGATAAAGCAAAGTTTGACTTTCGGAAGCATGCTTAAGCAAAACTACAAGACAAAAGTATTGTGAAAGATGACATAAAAATTATGCAGGGGGGTCCATTCATCAATTAACTGGGAACCTTCTATTTTTAACTGTGGAGCCCATTTTTATCATTTAAAATGAGAAACAAATAAGAATAATGAACAATATCTCTAACATATAAGAGTTGGTGGATTATAATTGAAGTGGGTATTGACTCAAAATACAGGAAATATAATCATAAATAATTGTTGCTGTAGAAAAGAGTGGAAAGTGGGGTGGACTTCAGTTTGAAAAGGTCAAAAAGTTATGAATCTCGAGGACATCAACATTAATTTCATGGGATTCTTCACCTTTGTCTATAAAAATAATCTTCTTATCTGATTTCCAATCTTATCTTACATAAACTTTTTAATAAATAATCAAGCATGCTTCACTTACTGAGTCTGCCTAAATTTAGTCCTCCTTTCTCCCTTGACAAAAAGTCTTAATGCTGAAAGGCATCATAACATAATCTTGAAAAAATGAACATCTGATTTCTGAAGCTGAATCATATAAAACAGCTTAATGTCATTTGATATTTATACAAATCTCTTCTTGATGAACAATTTGTTCATCTCTAGTATTCAAACTGGAAGTAGACATTGATCTAGAAAAATGTCTATTTTGTTCATCATCTATTTCTTCCCTACAGTGGTTGATCTAAGGGACTTACAACGGTTACAATCCTACAACCCTACACAACCCAAAAAGATCGGTACTCAAAATAATTAATAACAAATTTTAACAATCCTAAATCCTGCCTCCTTCCGGCTCTGATACCAGAGGAAACACAGATGTTTGGAAAAGATTTTTGAATTGGATAGTTTTTGTAATAAATCTTTTTTTGTTTGAGATTTGGTATCTTATCCATCATAAGATTGTATTAAGAGGTTTATAATTTATGACAAGTCTTGAAACTCCTCTATCAAGTTCAGCATTTTTTTGAACATAGAAGGTTGAGCAACTCAAGGAGACTTGTTTTTCCTAATTTTTTTTTTTTGTAATTATTATTTTATTTAACCTTCTATATTTGAGATTTTGTTAAAACACCCCAATCACAATGAATTTTAAATTTTAACAAAATCACCTAAACCACTGCCAGCCGTGACTAAACGGCACACGGGCCTTATCTAACCGTCAGTTATGATAATTGGTGATGCATACATATTCCCAAGGCCGTCAAAATTCGGAAACTGAGAGATTAAGTTGCACTTTCAGTCCATCATGCTGTTATGATTTGTACGGAGTCTTTCATATGTATGATTCATGTCGTCTCCATGATTTTGGTTACGCTCTTGGATAATTAAGTATCAATGCTTGGAGTGTTATCGTTACTGCTGAAATAAACTTTTATTACATTTTGGGAATGCACCTGTGGAATTCATCTCGACTAAAGATTTAAAACTGAGTAAATATACATATATGACGAAACCCGTATAATTTTTTGTTAATATCATATGTGTAGAAAGATCAATATAGAAAGTGCCCCGTGATCAAAAATAAAAAATATAAGCCGGCTCATAAAATTCCTAAGGCTTGTGCCTTTTTTAGCCACAAGTTCAACAGTAAGGCCACAAGCAAATTAACCTGGAGTTTGATAGTGAAGAAACTAATGAAATAAGTTAGAAATGGAAGGTCTAGATCAATGAATGGCGAATGCGCAAAAATAATTTAGCAAAGAGAATCCAATGAAATATTAACATATAAACTCGGTTTCTTTCACTGTTTACTGCACTGTAGCTGTATGTGGTCATGATGTATGAATAAAATTTTCTTTCTTCTTCAGTAGTTATTAATGTAATCCATTTCCGCCAAGCTATCACCTTGACTTGCCCACTCATAAATCATAATTATAAATATAATAATAGCACTTTGACATCATGGTCACGTGTTTACTTGCAGTCGCCCTAGTTTTAATTTAATGGTTCCTTTTCCTGTTGGAGAGACTCAAACTTTAATTATATATGAACAGGTGAGGTATAATGCTATAATCCCTGCAAGATGGATCAACTAGAGTCAAATTATGACAAACCTGATGAAATACAGCAAATATATCACATTGAGATAGAATGGATATTCTTTCTTACAAAGATTGTATAGCAACTGATCAATAGTAAAATGTGTGCACGTTATGAATATTAACGTGACATTTTATGGTTAATTGGTAGCACATACAACTTTGTAGAAAAGTTCTTTGGATAAGTAGGTATTGTGTGTGCAAAATCATAACTTAAAGAAAATTAAACGAAGATTATGTTAAAATGTATTTTAATATGTAAATTACAAAAGATCAATACATCTAAAAAATAACATTTAACGCATCAAAAGCTTGTACAACTAAAGGAGTTGGATTTAATTTATAAGGTTTTGGAGCTCATGACTTAGTAGACGAGTTAAGGTGAAAGACATTGTGTGAAGCCGGAAATAAATTTGTTCGAGACCAGACTCAAAACAAAAAATATCTATTTAATTGACTTCAAACATTGCATAATAATAAGATTTAAAGACTTTATATAAAATCCATCTTACTTTATACCCTTACAACACGTCACTATAATTCAAAAATAAAACAAACAATAAGTACATATAGTAAGCAAACAAAAGGAAGATTTTGCAATTCCATGGCTGTGTCCATAATTGCTCCTTTGTCTCCGCCCACCGATTGCATCCCCGTGCTATGTGAAAGCAAAACTGCAGGAGCAAAGATTAGAATTTTAGAATCATTACACGCCCCATCTCTAACCATAGCAAACAAATCAATACACTGTCAAAAGTTAAACCCAATCCCACCTTCAATATTCTTTTTAGGTATATGAGATATCGAGACTGGCTCACATTAGCCTGTCTAATTTCAGGGTCACGGAACACCTACAACCCAATGAATAAGATAATTGTACAAATATAGTAGGTAATCTCCTACGCTCGAATATAAGACCTCTGAATATACTAACTCTAATCTAAGGATTGTCATCTGATTAAAGGGAGAGGCATCCCACCTTCATATTGTTCTTCTTAATTTATTTTCCTTTAACATCTCACCAAAACAAAAGGAAACAACTCTAAGTGGAGCAAGCGCATGAACATGATTGATTACAGTTGCGCCACCCTCCTCCATGTCCAACTATCTTTTCTCTACCTCAAAATCCTACTCAAACCCCACCTCCCATCCCACTTT